AAAACCACCTATGTAAGTGCCAAGGTTATGCTACCTTTTACAGAAAAGTGAGGCTTGAAGGCAAAGCAAAGTATCATAGTTGAACTTGAAAGTAAGAAACAAAAACAGTGTGAAAGTTGTCTCTCTTATACACACACTGCCATGTAATTGATGTAGATATCAACTTGATAAATTAAAAAAATACAGCCAGGTACGGTGGCTTATGCCTGTAATCCCAGCATTTTGGGAGGCCAAGGCGGGCAGATCACGAGGTCAAGAGATCAAGACCATCCTGGCCAACATGGTGAAACCCGTCTCTACTAAACATACAAAAATTAGCTGGGCCTGGTGGCGCACACCTGTAGTCCCAGCTACTCAGGAGGCTGAGGCAGGAGAATCACTTGAACCCAGGAGCTGGAGGTTGCAATGAGCCGAGATTATGCCACTGCACTCCAACCTGGTGACAGAGCCAGACTCCGTCTCATCAAAAAACAAACAAACAAACAAAAAAACAGTCGGTCAAAACAGTCGGTCCTCGTTTTTGTGGGTTCTGCATCTGCAGATTCAACCAACTATGGATCAAAATATTTGGAAAAAACTATAAAAAATAACACAATTTAAAATACAGTATAACAACTATTCACATAGCACATACATGGTACTATGTACTATAAGTAATCCAGAGATGACTTAAAGTATATTGGAGAATGTGTGTAGATTATATGCAAATACTGTGCCATTTCATATAAAAGACTTGAACATATGTGGATTTCCCATGGCATCCATGAGAGTCCTGAAACCAATCCCTTGTGGGTATTGAGGGATGACTATGTATAAAATACGATTAAGTAATACACATACAAATATCTTAAGTATTTGTGAATGTTTTGAACACCTACGTTAGTGGAAGATTATAGAGGTTTTGAAAAATAAAAAGCCTATCTTAACAATAGTTATTCTTCTGGAATTCTTCAAAGCCAGGATATTTTAGAATCCATAAAACATCTGTTTATTGTGACAGTTGTGTAAAGGGTCAATGGCTGTAAATCAGTGAAGTAACTCTAGTGGAATGTGAATGTAGTAGATAAAAGATACCTTTTATCTACTGAACTTATGTTTTTAAAAACCTGTTTAAAGGCTTGGACTTCCAAATACACTCTGATCATATTAGTAATTTTTTAGTTGACCACTGTAAGCATTTGCCAATAACTAGTATTAATGTAGTGGACCCAGAATCCCATTTTGCTTGTGCTGCTCTTTTATACCCTCTCTTTTTAAATGAGGTGTCATTCACCATCCTTGACAACCATTTTATCCAATCTAAAGCTGCTGCAGGAGAACCACCTGCTGAGCATCACGTGGAGGTTCTCCCTGTTTAAGTTATGAGGCTTATGCTCTGACCGAGGGAACTTTATCCACTTATGACCCCCAAATTAATTTAAGATGTAGGATTTGATTTATCAAGCTTACATGTTAGTTCCTAGTTGTCCAGGTATCTGTTTCTGGTTCCAGATATAGCCATAGATGTGGTAAAAATTCTATTCAAATTTATGTGCTTTGCTAAGGATTTTGAAATTGAAACTTAGGTCACTTTTCAAAGAAGGGCCCTAATCTCTGAAATTTCCCTCTGTCTACTGTTCCTAGAAGATCCATATTTGTTGACCATCAGGTTAGTGTTAAAGGTAATCTTTTAAGCTTCTAATTGCAGAGTTATATAAATTATACATGCCGGTTCTAAATTTTGTAAATGGTTGTATAATCAGGGTTTGCCATGGCAAAGGTTGTGGTTCCTAAGCCCATTTCTGGACCAATTATTGCCCCAAGGTTTATTTTCTCAGAGTTGTTTCCTTCTCAAAGAAAAACATGTAAAAATTCTTGCACACTAAAGTGTTAAAGCTTTAATGTGCTAACGCATTGTCAAGAATACTACATTGGAATTTTAAAAGGATAAGTAGTAGAAGCATGACTATGCTTAACACAAAGTATACTCATGCACTGCATAACAACGTTTTGGTCAACCACAGACTGCATGTACAATGGTGATACCAAAGATTATAATACCTGTTTTTTTCTGTACCTTTTTTTATATTTACACATTTTTAGATGCACAGATACTTACCATTGTGTTACAGTTGCCTGCAATATTCAATATAGTAACCTGCTGTACAGGCTTGTAGTCTAGGAGCAATAGGCTATACCATATAGCCTAGGTGTACAGTAAGCTATATCATCTAGGTTTGTGTAAGTACATTCTGTGGTGTTGCACAATGAAATCACCTACCAATGCATTTCTTAGAACCTATCTCTATGGTTAAGCAATGCATGACTGCAGTCACTTATGTAACCAGCCCGGCTGCTGTGCTATGGAAATATAGAGCAGATTGGGCAACCAGCTATCCTGCCTGCCAGTAAGCTGTAGTTGATTACCCTGCTGACCAGCGATGTGTATAACTTTTGAGGGTTTTTTTTTTAATGCGTATAACTTTTTTTTTTTTTTTAAAAACAGGGTCTGGCTCTGTCTTTCAGGCTGGAGTGCAGTGGCATGACCTCGACTCATTGCAACCTCGGCCTCCCAGGTTCAAGCGATTCTCCAGCCTTAGCCTCCCGAGTAGTTGGGATTACAGGTGCCTGCCACCACACCCAGCTAATTTTTGTATTTTTAGTAAAGATGGGGTTCTACCATGTTGGCCAAGCTGGTCTTGAACTCCTAACCTCAAGTGATCCACCTGCCTTGGCCTCCCAAAGTGCTGGGATTACAGGCATGAGCCATCACACCCAGCTTTGATTTGTATAACTTTTAAGGGTTTTTT